GTGTGTGTGTGTGTGTGTGTGTGTGTGTGTGTGTGTGTGTGTGTGTGCGTGTGCGTGTGCGTGTGCGCGCGCGCCTAGGAGGTGATCACTAGCCCTTTGGGAAACTTAGTTTCCTCCTCTGTAAAAGGAGGGGCTTGATGGGGCTATCCAGACCACACAGTGATGTCAGTGAAGTCAGGCTGCAGAGAGGCCTCCCAGAAACGCCTGAGGGGCACAGCTTCTCCTGAGCCAGGAACTGCTAGACACTTTACCCATGATCTCATTCAAGGCCTGCAGCATCCCAGTGTGATGGCTGCTCATGTTATCTCCACTAAGCCTGTGAAGAAACTGACGCTCACCAGGTGAGGTCACTTGCTCCAGGGCTTCATCTAGTCTGCATGGGTAGCATACCAGATACCACAAACTGGGTGGCTTAAAGATGTGTTTCTCACAGCTCTAGGGGGCTGGAAGGTTTGGAGCAGGGTGCTAGCAGGATTTGGTTCTGATGAGTTTTCTTACTAGCTCACTGATGGCTTCGCATAGTGCACAGGGAATGGAGACACTAAACATTGAGAAGCTCTGTTTCTTGTGTTAAGGACACTAAGCCAATTGGACCAAAGACACACCCTTAGCTTAATTAGTACTACCTACATACCCTGTCACCAATAGGAGTTACCTTGTGGGGAACTGACCTTCTTCATGGGAACCCCAGGGGAACACATCAAGAATAGGGGACAATTTGTGGTTCCTCATCTATTATCCACTGTCCTTAGATGGGAGAGCTGAGCAGGGAGCAGGGACTGCTGGCGGCAGGAAGCCTCTGTTGGCCAGCTCTTCACTAGCCTTTCCCAACAACTCCAAGTCACTGCCCCCTCCACAAGGCATGGGTGGAAGACCCTCCTTGGGCCAAGCCACGGAGTCCTGCTTGGTGGTGCTGTAAGTAAGATATTGGCACATTAGGGTATAGTGTCCCGAGATAACCCATACCCAATATTAAAAAGCCCAGTATGTCCTGAAGACAGCTGCATGTAACACCAGTCCAGGGCTGAAGAAGATCATGTTGTCAGTCCCCTGGGCTCCTGGGATGAGGTGACAGTCCCCTTCCACAGCTCATGTGTGGCAGAAGGAGAGCTGCATACACATGAGCGGGCTGGAACAGCCGGGTCATTAGTCATTACTAAGAACTTCACAGGGAAAACACAACACACTGCATAGGCAGGCTCCTCTGCAGACTCCAGCAGGCCAGACAAGCAGCTCGTCATCCACCGGGAATGTCTCCTCTCCATAACTTACCAAAGCTGCCCTGTTGGTGAGAAAATGTTTCCTTCCCACTCTTAGACTCGTCCTAGTTCACACTTAGGTCATACAGGTAGGCCTTTAAAGGTGGGAGGATTTTCCCAATTTTAAAAAATGCACAGAGTAATGGGCCCCAGGACATCATGCAGAGAATGGAAATGTCCCTCATACCTTCCCAAACTAAGACATGAAGGTAAGTTAGGAAGGCTGCAGTAGTACCTCCCTGGCATACTCTGCAGGACTGCCACGGCCTGCTAAGGGTTCCTGCTGCCAAGACAATAGGCTACATTCTCAGCTGCTTGCCCTAGAGTTTCTACTCCTTTCTCTGTGGTGGAGAGGAAACTGGCACACAAAACCTCGTGTGCCTATTGTCACTGTGAACAGTGTCACTGGGTCATTGTTGCCTCCCCTCCACCCAAGCCAGGGTCTCATGAGGCCAGTTCCAATCACAGGAAAATTGTGTCCCTAATGAAATCTAACACTGAACCTTTTGAAAACAGATGCAGCCCCTTTCTCTCCATTATGCCCCCTCCCAAGGACAGGGCTGTCCAGAGGAATAGAGTGCCCCAGTGACGTCCCACACAGGCCGTTGTGCTCTGCAGCCTTGCTAATGGAGTCCATGCTTGGCTTTTGCAGATGTGAAAGCTGTGGAGCCGTCTTCCATTCGGAGTGCAAAGAAAAGTCTGTCCCCTGCCCACGGTGCGTCCGAAGAGAGCTGCAGAAGAAGCAGAAGTCCTTCTGGCGGCAGCTGAACGTGGATGAAAGCCTGGAGGAGGCGTGTACCATGTTTGAGCTGTCCTACCAAAACACCTGACCGCAGGCCGGGCTACATTCACCACAACTACCCACAGGGCTGCTCATGCCGTGCACATGAGGCTGTTCCTTCTTCAGCTAGATGTAGATAGATAAGTTATTTATTTATTTATATTATATACACCTATACGTCCCGTACGTATGCTTTGTATAACTCATTGTCAAGAAGTCCACAAAGTTCCTGTGGCTAAACTCCTACAGATAGCTGAGTCACACTTGGCCATGAAATTCAGCTGCTTGCTCCCAGCAAATGTGATTTACACACATTGCTCTGTAGTTCAGACCCCTTTATGCACACTGGCTCTAAGGGCCAGTCTACTGCACAGGTATTGGAGGAAATAACTCTCGCAGCAAAGCTTTGCATTGTTACTGAGATTTAGCCTTTTCTGGGGAAACTGAGGTAGGAACCATTCTTATCTGCTTCACAAGGACATCTCTAACACACAAGAATGTTTCTGGATACTTCCAGGCCCCAGAGTCCGTGGCAGAGATGGCAGAGAGTGAACCAGAGGGGCACAGCAGAAAGCCAGAAACCCCTTCAACAGAAAGCATCAGGAGCAGAGCTACCTGGGTTTGAACTTAATCCCTGAAAGGGAGGACCTCAGTGGCCAATCACTGCATGCCGTCCATCTGTTGGCTGGTGCAAAGCCAGCCCCTCCCTGATGACGAGACTCCACGATGCCTGCCAGAGAGTGCGCATGGGTGCCCTAAGAACAGTTCCCAAGCATGGCATGGAGGACAATGGTCATGTTTCTTATGGTGCTGCCCGGAAGGAAATGTCCCAGGACTGCGCTCAAGCATATCAGTGCATCATCTGCTAGGTAGAGTCAGCTGCACGATCTCGGAGGACACGATGTCTCCTTTCCAGAGTCCTCCACCGGCAGGCAGGCCCACCTGTCACTTGAATGTTTTATTTCTCCTTGTCCTGCACAGCACTTTTGACCTTCACTCAGTCCACGTAACTACTCTTGCTTTTGTATTCTGGATGTTTTGTTTGTTTGGGATGGGGGCATATTTTAAGACAGGGTCTTGCTGTATATCCCTGGCTGGTCTCAAACTTGTGATCCTGCTGCCTCGGTCTCCAAATGCTGGGATTACGGGTGTTTACCACCATACCTGGCTTTACTTGTTTCTAATTATTTTTAAAAAATATTTAAATATTTAAAAGTAAAAATTATATAATTATTAAAAGTTATTAAGAAGTAACATTTTGAAAAATACAAACCTAAACTATTAAGAAAATACCAAACATAAATAGAATTAATGAATTAATATTATTGAAATAAGTAGATATATACATGTATAATTATACCACCTTATAGTAACACAAAGAGTAACTCGTGTGTAGGAATGAGCAGTGTGTCACTTCACTCTTTGGAGGGTAGTGTACTCCCACTGTGATCCCTGTAAGAGCCTGTGTAGTTATCACTGTGACCAAGATGGCTGCAAGGGAGGCACTGAGACCCTGATGGCCAGCATTCCTTCTTCCCTAACTCTCTCCAAGGCAGGAGAATGTACTCACCAGGAAGTACTTGTTTGTCATGGAGCCAGTGTCACCCACTGCCACCCATGCTTCTGTCCTTTCAGATTTTCACTACTGTTCAGATCCGGGGGAAACGCTGGCTCACAAAGAACACGGTGTTTCAACTCCAAGCTGCTCCCCACAGGCACCAGCTCCTGATGCTTCTGTCCAGTAGGAGACATTCAGCTGACTTGTGCAGTTAGAGGCAAGCGTTTCACCTCTTGGCCCACACCGTTTCCTTTGGCCCCAGACCACACAGTTCAACGCCACATGTGCGTTCATTTCCTAACTACCCAGAAGCTATAGCCAAGGCATGAAATTTGGTAAAAGGCCAGGGCCCTATTTACCAGACACCTCACGGTGCCTTTTATAAACTCTCGGGAAGGCGTGTTGACACCACCTCACTGACATGAGTGGTAGGGAATGTTGCACATAGGACAAGGATGGGAATTCTCAGACACTTGGCAAAACGGGCACACAGATTTGAGTATCTCTCTTCCTCCTATCCGTTAAAATACAGTATTTATATTTTCCAGCCTCAGAGAAGAGAACAGAACATGATCTTTCACTGGAGAATTCTAGACCTGCTTATTATGAAACAGATGTGTTCCCGTGGCACAGTGCCTTCTCTCTACTCCCAATCCCCATTACCGTAGCTAACTCTTGACCTTTGCTGAAATTAATGTATCTGTGATTCTGACTGTCAGAGACGCCATTCCCAGCACAGTGAGCACAGAGACCTGAAGAGCAGAGCCCCTGACCTAGGTTGGCCCCATGTCCTGCCCCAACAGGTGCCCAAGATCAGACAATAAAAGCCTAGGGTAAAATCTGGATTCCTGCTCAACATACCTGAGTTGTCCCCACTGTCCCTTAGAGGGCCCTGCTGTGTGTGTGCAGACCTAGGGCACTCCTAAGACCTTTCCCCAGACATTGCTGTTTATTTTTTAAAGGGAAAAATATAAGTGTGCTGTCATCCGTGATCTGGAACTAGAGCCGTGACCTGCTACTTCTGGTTTCACTCTGTTGTACATCCCCACCAGCCTGGTCCATGCCAACTCTGGGCTCCCAGTGGCAATCTCTGCCACCACCACCCGAATCTGATAGGACACATGGAGCCAGCTCTGGAGTTGGGTCTGCCATGAAAATTCAAAATTGCTATTTTCAGCCCAGAAAGCCTTAGAGTGCATGAAGGCCCTTACTGTTTTCAGGTCTAACAAATTACTTGGTGCAGTGTTAGGTAATTGTTCCACTGCTTAGAAACCATCGAAACAAAAGCAGGCCTGTGGATTTCCACCTCTTTTTTTTTCATCTCAGTAAATATCTTACATGTAAAGCATAATGGAAAATGGTCTATTAATCTCCTGGAGCCGCTAGCAAAGCCCAGGGAGCTGCTTTTCACTAAACAGCCCATTCCCTGGTGTAGCACAAGAATTCCCTCCTGCTAGTGCCAGAAACTCGTGTGTGACACCATCCAGCCTGGGGGAAGTGTTGGCACCCAACCCCACCGTTAAGAAGCCAGTTCCTAAAATAGACCTGCGTTTGCACTGCAGTAGGAAGGCCGCAGGGTGCTCCAAAGACAGTCAGCTACGCTGGGAGCGGAGTTCTTTCCAGGGCTGCCTGTTCTCAAAGTTGGAAGCAGCCTTATATGAAAACCATGTAAACTCTGTCTTCCCCTTGACTTCATGTGCTGAATTACAGCCATCTTTTGGGGGTTTTCACATTTGATGAGCTGAAAGGTTAACTGCTTCTTGATTTTGCTATAATAGGCCGAGAGAGAGAGAGAGAGAGAGAGAGAGAGAGAGAGAGAGAGAGAGAGTGTGTGTGTGTGTTTACAGTGCCTTGGGATTCGCAGGTTCCAATAGAGTCTGAAACAGCCCAGGGTTGTGATTCCCCTCAGCTGCCCCAAAACAAAGGTGTCTGTGTCACTCTGTCACTGTGGTCAAGTTGCAGCACACCCTCGGTGAGGTCTGGCCTCTGTCTCTGCTTGTCATGTGTGCACACTGAACGTGAGCACTGACAGGTTGCTTTCTGCACCTCCTCTAGGAGGCTTGGCTTCCAGCCTTGCAAATTTATTCTCTATCCGAGGGCCAGAAAACTCCAGACACAAGCTACCTATGAGAACAGGACCACAGTGATGCCACACACACACTGAGCACCAACAGCAAAGCCCGCTGCCATCAAGAAAGTAGCCACACATTCTGCTGCTAGTTCAGGGGCGTGCCCTGCCCTCTCACCCTGCAGCTCAGCATTTGGTTCTCTCCTGTGCTTTGTTGAAGTAGCCAGATTACGAACTACTCTTTGACCCTTAGTTGGAATACTGCCTGGTTCCAACACAGACTATCTCATTTTGTTTTGTTTGTTTTTTCTCATGTACATAGAAAAGTGTGCAGTTTTGTTTTGGGAGCTTTCTACACTACTTTTCATCTTCTGAAATAATGTGGAGATGTCAGGAATTTGAGACAAAAGGGAAAGAAGCTAGCCCTTTCTTCCTTGGCCATTTTCTCCCTGGAGCCACTGGCCTTTCTCCTTATCCATTCCTTGGTACTGACTCGGTGGTGGTGGTGGTGGTGGTGGTGGTGGTGGTGGTGGGCATTAGGAACCTGGTTCACTGCTCTGCCTCTTCCCACTCGCCTAATCCCAGAATGCTACAAGCTACGACTCAGCCCCTCAGCTAACCTAACCAGTGCTGATCTCTGTCACAGGGACAGTTTCTTAACAGTTAAGTCCCAGCACCCACTCTCTCTGTAGGCACTTCTGTCCTTTCTTTGGATTCAAAACTCTCTGACTCGAGATTTTTTTTTTTTTCTGGTATGTTTTAGTAGGTGCAGGACTAAGATGAAAAATCTACATCACTATAAAACTCTAGGTGAAAGGGAAAATGTAGATGAACCTCTCCAGCCTGTCTGTCTGTCAGTCTGTCAGCCTGTTTTATGTAAGATGGGTTCCTGGTGACTGTGGCATGTAGCACTGTCTCCATAAAGCAGGCTCAAGTGTGATGGGAGGCACTGGTGAGTGGGACGCAGGCTGCTCGCTGGGGCTCCTCTCTGAGGGAAAAGAGGCACTGGCTCCTCATCATTTTAGAAAGCTTTCTAGTGAAGCCACTTGTTTCCCAGGCCAGGTGAACAAGACACCTACAGCAGCTCTTCCACAGTTAGGTCCATGCCGGCCATGGAAACTGCAAACCGGCCCTGTCCCTTCCCGTGATTCCCTTGCCTGCTTCCTCAGCCCTGGGCCAGACTTGGGCCTCATGCTAATAAACCACTTAGTGAACAACTGGCCAGTGGCCCTTCCTTCCCACTGTTTTGTTTCCCTGTAGGAGTGCCTTATAGTCTAGTCTCTGACCCACTTGAAGCCTGCAGGACCCTTCATCCGACTATGGATCCCTTCACACTTCCCTGCTGCCTCCTCTTCAGTACACAGTCCACCTGGAGCCTGTGTGTTCCAAGATACATGTCAAACCTACCACCTTCGCTTAACCCGATGCCTTAACTTCACAAGTAAAGGGATTCACATTGCAAACACCTTATCAGAGTGAAACATCAGTTTCTTCAGTGCCATTGGCACTTTTACCAGGAAATACAATAGGCATAATCATATAATGTTTTGACCTTATTTTATGATGTTTTTCAGCCACTCTTTGTTTGCTTGCTTTCATTAACCAAACTCAGGGGAATGTCATGTCACCAAGGTCAATGGGGAAAGAGAAAACTAGCTACCCAGAAGTGAATGTCAAAGTCTATGAACTTAGTCTTTTTAGGTTCAAAAGTGACACCAACACAGGGATTTTTTTTCCTTTACTGTATAAAGATTCTCTTTACTTGCCACCTGTGTTCCACGTGGGACGTGGGAAGCCTCCGGGATGCACGTGAATGACAGTGTCCCTGTGTGCAGCCTGGGCAGTCCACCGAGCCACCGGATCAGGCCTTCACTGTGTGCAGCCTGGGCAGTCCACCGAGCCACCGGATCAGGCCTTTACTGTGGAGTGCTCTGCCTGTGGTCGCCTGTCAGGCTCTTACTGTAAACAGTTGTCAGCTGTCTCCGGGAATGGTAAAGGAGGAGGACCCAAGACTGCAGGTGAAGAGCAAGAGCGTGGTGATGTGGATGGTCCTGTACAGCTCGTTCTCCGGCTCCTGGGTCGGATCCGAGTCATTCCCCCTTCCTCTGCTCATGGGGTACAGAAGCAATTAGGATCCTTGAGCTGTTCCTTCGCTCTGTTAGTTATTCGTAATTGCTAATGTGCTAGTTCATGTGGTCCCTGTTGTCTGGATTTGATTGCCGTTTTGGTGAATTTATCCATATTTTTGTTTACATTATTTTTTAAGCTTGTAACTGTAATAGTATCAAACCGAAGTTGTGCTGTTGACAGGACATCTTATTTTTTACAGTTATCTGTCACATAATTTAAGTGCACCTGTTCCTACTGTATAAAGTCCTCTCCCTCTCAATAAATGACAGTGGAAGTACTTTCTCTCATATTAGCTTTATTTAAATTTTTTTTTTCAGGAAATGGGGAGGTGAGCCTTTGGCAAAATCAAGATTTGAGGTCTCTTGAAAGTAGGCTATGTGCTTTTGTGGAAGAAGGGGAGATAAACCTTTTTGTTCTATGTGTGTGAGAGTTTGCTGGGTGTTTGTTTTTGTTC